CCGTAGTATTTTTAAACAGGAGTGTACAAATAGAAGTGTACAAAGATATTGGACCTTAGATCTTCTTATGTCCTACACAGCTCATTAATAAGGGATAACAAAGATTTTAAAAGGAAGAAAAAGGCTAACTCTGAAGTGTCCAGAAAGGAATGAGTCTCAGTGTTGGTTCACACATGCAGGGCTTTTATCATTATATGTATTGTGTAGTGGGCTTCAGTAGGCAAGAACCAGACCAGCATAGTTACAACATCATTTATTGACTCAAAACTGGAACTGAGGAACAGCAGGCAAATGCCTGTAATTTATACTCTGGGTCCACAGGGTCTTAACCAATCATAATAATTGAAAAACCCACCCAAATATTAATGTTCAAAGTTTCCCTCCAAAACAGTTGGAGCTAACAGAGAGGGTCATCTAAAGGTTAGTTTCAATTTAGTAGGGTTTAACACAACTATATACATTCAACACATAATAATATGTTTGATATTTAATACAGCAATTGATTAAATCAGGGGTTTCAGAAACTTGATTCACAAGTCTAAAGAAAGTGGAATAGGTTGTGGTGGCTGCTATTCAATTCAATATTCTTAGCATGGGTGAAAAATGAACACTACATATGGATGAGGAGCTCCTCCATACAAAGGAGATTCTCCAGGAACACTCTGCAAGTAGAAAGCGCATATGTTGGTTCATTCACAGAGTTGTTTTTGCGCAGGTGTCAAGTTACCTCAATGTATGACACACGTCATTTGGACCATACTTTATGTTAACATGGATCCTTTTATATGTGTTGCTTTAAAAGGGACAGTAAAAGTTGTATATGTGAGAACCTGTATATACTCTTGTAATTAAGCTGCTGAAGGAGACAATCTAAAAGTTATGTGTGCCTCATTTTGTAGGAATCATAGGGGAAGAGATATCCATATGCATTACCTCACCTAATTCCTGCTTTCCCTATACCCATGATGGCGAACCTATGGCACGCATGCCACAGGTGGCACACCGAGCCATATCTGTGGGCATGCAAGCGTTTCCCTAGCTCAGCTCCAGCGCACATGCGTGCACCGCCCAGCTGATTTTTGGGCCTTCCGGGCTGCCGGATGTTGGGAAATGGGCTGTTTCCGGCCTCTGGAGGGCCTCCGGGTGGGTGGGGAAGGCCGTTTTTGCCCTCCCCAGGCTCCTAGAAAGCATCTGGAGCCTGGTGAGGCCAAAAAACGGGCCTACTAGGCCCACTGTACCATCACGTGCCAAAAGTGGGGGGAGCACGGGGGGGTCACGTGCGCATGCGCAGGGCGGGGGCACATTGAATTATGGGTGTGGGCATGCACACGCACGACCCCCCCATGGTCCACCCACTTTTGGCATGCGATGGCAAAAAGGTTAGCCATCACTGCCCTATACTGTTATCAGAGGTGGTATTCAGTCGGTTCAGACAAGTTCACCTGAACTGGTAGTGGAAAGCGCAGGGGGCTCTATGCCATCCTATTTAGGCATGCTTTTGAGGCTGTGTACATGCTAGGAAGCAGTGGTGGGATTCAATTTTTTTAACAACCGGTTCTATGGGCGTGGCTTAGTTGGGGGTGTGGCTTGGTGGTCATGTGACTGGGTGGGCTGGCTAGCTGGTCATGTGACCGGGTGGGCATGGCTATGTGCATAGGGTCTACTCAGAGGGCTGAAAAATGTCATTTCTGACTGGTCCTCGCACTTATGACCATCCTCACATTTATGCCCATGCAGCATTCTTAACAACCATGTCAGTCATTTCACCACTACTTCCCTTCACCACAGTGACAAGATAGGGCGCAAAACGTAAAATGTGAGGACAGTCGTAAATTCAAGGACTGGTCAAAAGTGCGAGGACTGGTCAAAAATAACTTTTTCAGCCTTCTGACTAGTCCATATGCACATAGGGACTATTCAGAGGGCTGAAAAAAGTCATTTCTGACTGGTCGTCACATTTTTGACTGGTCCTCGCACTTATGACCTTCCTCACATTTATGCCCGTTGCGGCATTCTTAACAACTGTGTCAGTCATTTCACCACTACTTGTCTTCACCATGGTGACAAGATAGGGCACAAAACGTAAAATGTGAGGATGGTTGTAAGTTCGAGGACTGGTCAAAAGTGCGAGGACCAGTCAAAAATAACTTTTTCAGCCCTCTGAGTAGTCCATATGCAAAAAAGGACTACCCAGAGGGCTGAAAAAAGTGATTTCTGACACGTCTTTGCACTTTTGACCGGTCCTCACCCTTATGGTCCTTTCTTTTGTGTTTTAAAATCTTGAACTATCCTCTTTTCCCCTAAATTTCCCATTGTTTGCACCTACCTTTTTTGGTGAGGAAAAAGAAAAGAAATCTTCTTGCCTAATTTTCCAACGTTTCAGCAAACAGAAAAGCCAACAGCCTGCTCTACTTTCAGTTTCATTTTTCAGCATAGCTGGGGAAAAAAAATCTGTTCCAGCACTCTTTGCAAGCAAGCAGCAGAGCCCTGAGCAAAACAGCTGAGAGCAAATCAGCTGAGAGTCGGGAAGCCGATCTAATCAACGGGCTAATTAGCCTATGTTGAAGGTCCACAACCCAATAAAATTACAAAAAAACACCGAACCATTTGTTAAATTAATTTAATTTTGTTTTATAGTATTTTAATGTTTGTATTGTGTGTTTTTAATTTTGGCTGTTCACCGCCCCGAGTCCTTCGGGAGAGGGGGCGGTATAAAAATTTAATTAATTAATTAATTAATTAATTAATTAATTAATTAATTGCTCACCCGCCCCTCGCCCACCACTATTTATTGGCAATAAATAGTGGTGCGGAGGGGCGGGGTAAGGGGCGGGGCGAGCCAGCAATTTAACAAACAGTTCGGCCGAACCGCCTAGAACCAGCAGAATCCCACCACTGCTAGGAAGACACGCGCATGTGATCAAAGCACATGCACGGAAGGCAGGGCGCATGTGTGGAAGGCACACATGCGCACGGTGAGCCGGTAGTAACATAATGTGAAACGCACAGCTGACTGTTATCCTGAAGACTTGCTGGATTGGACTCCCTGCTTCCTATAATCTTATCTATAGTCCAAAGGGGAAGGGAGGGGTGTTCACTATGCAAACACCATGGTTAACATTTCTGTTGCAGACATGATTAGTGTTTCAGGCAGGCCTAGTAATTTGCATGTACAATCATATGAAAAGACAATAATATGAAAATATCATTTTTTTTTTTTTTACAAGAGTGAGTTTTGGGTTGACAATGTGGAAAATCTATTTATACTTTTTCTAAGAAAAGAATAAGTTATAAACATATTTGTTATTAGTGTGTATAGCAGTACAGTTGCTCATTTTACCTTAGGTGTAATTATACACGAAGTATATGCTATCATTAATGGAAGAGAATTTAAAATTTTGAGCAACAGAATTATATTAATAAACAGAGAATCAAAGCCACCTTTTCTATAACGGTGTGGCTTGGCACTTTAAAACCTCTGTGGATTTAATACTTTCACATCCCCCATTAGATGGCTGTGTTGTGCTGTTTAAATTGTGAAGCAAGCAGTTCATTCACATTTCTCTTCTCAAATTTCCCAGCTATACAATTTCTTCAACATTAGTGATATGATCACTAATAATCAGGATAATCAAGAAAAAAAAAATGCTTGTCCAGTCTGATTGAATGAAAAAGGGGAAAAAAAATATATTCTGACCAGGTGTGGCTTTGCATTTTAAACTCAGTTAAATCATAGCAGGCTCAACGCTACAGAAACAGAACAGTTTCCTTTTACCCATCCTGCTGCTAAACTCATTTACTGTGGAATGAGAGCATTCTTTTATAGAAAAAGGAAAATATACTCTACAAGTAAATGATATAAGATCAGCATCTATAAACTTGTACATGCCTGCCCACTCACAGATCATAAACGATTCAATAAAATAAGAAAGAAAGGATGTTATAATGAACAGCCCGTGCTTGTAAATCTCTGGCTTTACACATTTGTGGACTGCACTAAAAAAAAAAAAAAAAAATCAGATAATTACCAGTCAGATTTAATTACCAGTTCTATTTAGAGGGCACTAAATTCAGTCTCCCCATCACTGAAAAGAGGTGATTGCATCAGCTTGATTGCTGAACGCAGGTCCTGCTTCAGCAACTGAAGGCCTGTGTTTTGCTGAGAAGGAGGTGATAGGCTTGACTAATTCGGGTCTGAGCTATCTTTTTTTTTGTTCAATAAATTCACCTGGGCCAAACATTCAGGAAAACCTTCAGTTATTAAGATACATTTCATGGTAAATATACATTCAAGCCACTTTTAAAGCTCATTGTGTTGCTTTTTTTTTTTTAAAATACTTTTATATATACTTTTATTGTATATATATAAAAAGATTTTAAAAGAACACAAATTTATGTGAATATTCATCACTCCTGGAATGTTCAGTGCATTTTTGCTTACATTGTAGTAGATAATTGATTCAGTTACACGAAAGAAGTTTCTTATTTTAGAAGGGGAAAATTAAATAGCTAAAGTAGGTGAGAGACAGCAAATTTCTAATTTGTCCCCCAGCTGATACTATGACTGAAGAGATGTTCACATTAAGAAAGAGTCTTCAGATTATTGTATAACTCGTAATGATGGGTAGCCTAGATGATTTTCGTAAAAGAGATCACAAGTAAAGGTATCCTCAATTTACAACTCCAGTTCGGACCAGGATTTCTGTTGCTAAACAAGGTTAAGTGGAGTTGTTCAATTTTATGACCTTTTTGCCACAGTCATTAAGTGAATCACTGTAATAGTTAAGTGAATCACCTGGTCGTTAAGTCAATCTGGCTTTCCCAGATCATAAGGTCATAAAATGGGACAAAATTCACTTAACAAACGTCTCACTTAGCAACAAAAATTTGGGGCTCAGTTGTGGCCATAAGTTGAGGACTATCTGTATACTGTAATTGCAGTGATGTAATACAGGAAAATAGGACATGGTTCAACTCTGAATCTTTTTTTTTCTCCACAGGCCAACAGAAGTGATACTTCAATCAGAATAGAGCTGGAAGGGACTTTGGAGGTCTTCTAGTCCAACCCCCTGCTCAAACAGGAGACCCTATACCAGGGGTGAGTTCTAATTTGTTTTACTACAGGTTCTGTGGGCGTGGCTTATTTTGTGGGCGTGGCTTGGTGGTCATGTGACTGGGTGGGCGTGGCTAGCTGGTCATGTGACCGGGTGGCCATAGCTATGTGTATAGGGACTACACAGAGGGCTGAAAAAAGTCATTTCTGTCAGGTCCTCGCACTTTTGATTGGTCCTAACACTTATGACTGGTCATCATTTATGCCCATTGTAGCATTCATAACAACCATGTCATTCATTTCACAACTGCTTCTCTTCACCATGGTGACAAGATAGGGCGAAAAACGTAAAATGTGAGGACAGTCGTAAGTTCGAGGACTGGTCAAAAGTGCGAGGACCAGTCAAAAATAACTTTTTCAGCCCTCTGAGTAATCCATATGCACAAAAAGATACTGCAATAGAGAGGGATGAAGGAAGGAGAAGAGAGGGAAGGAAGAGAAGGGAGGAAGGAAGGGAAGGGAAATTAGAGTAGGAGTGAGGGTAAGAGAGGGAGGAAGAGAGGAGGAGAAGGAGAAAGGAAGAGGAAGTAGGGAGGAGAAGAAGAGGGGGGGAAGAGAAAGTAAGAAGGAAAGCAAAGAGAGAGGTGGTAGGTTTGAGGAGAAAGATTGCTGTACAATAAAAAAGATGAAAGGGAAGAAAGGCAACCCCAAACAAATATAAAGATATTAAGATAAAGAATGAATTGTTAAATTTTAAAAAATAAAAGAGAACAAATATGAATAAATAGCAATAATTAGAAACACACATACAAACATACAATGTATTTTCTTTGAACAGAGTATTTGGCTGATTCACAAATTTAAACAGTGTTTAGTCATTTCAATTAAATTTACAATTTCTATATTTCCTTTTTGCCATATTTATTCCTTATCTATTTTAGTAAAAAACCAATATTACCCTTCATCCTCATCTCTAATCTTAATCAAATTCAATTTTCCCTTCTATTCTATATCATACCCCTTCCCATTGTCATCTATTTTTATATCCATCTTCACATTGGTTAATTATGTAATATTAGTTGTTTAATACAAATTCAACATTTTAATATAAATCAATTAGTTATATGACTATCATTTTTGTACATTAATCAATATGAACATGAATATTCCAATTATTTCCATGCCATCCAATTTCTTACAAATCAATTAATTATATTTACCAATAATAATAAACCAAATAATTTCCCCCATATATTCCTCCAAACCACAACTTAACCATTTCTGCTTTCAACACAATATACAGTTAATAGTATCTCAATTATTACAATTCCCTAGTTAAATAGAGCTTTTTTTCTTTTGTGTTTTAAAATCTTAAACTATCCTCTTTTGCCCTAAATTTCCCATTGTTTGCACCTACCTTTTTTGGTGAGCAAAAAGAAAAAGAAATCTCTCCCTGCCTCATTTTATCACGTTGCAGCAGAGCCTGCTTTACTTTCAGTTTCATTTTTTCCCTAGCATAGCTAGGGGAAAAAAAATCTGCTCCAGCACTCTTTTTAACTAGCAGCAGAACCCAGGCAAAACAGCTGAGAGCAAATCAGCTGAGAATCGGGAGGCAGATCTAATCAACGGGCTAATTAGCCTATGCTGAAGCTGAAAGGAGTTGTTTTTTCTTGCTGTTTGCTTGCAAGGAGGTAACTGCTGTGAGGCACAGGCCAAAGGGTGGGGGCCACCCTCCTTGCCATTTAGCATCCCACTGTCGCCCCCTTTTGCCTCTAGCGCCCCCCTAAGGCATAGTACCACCCACTTTGGGAACCACTGGCTTGACTACTTAACAACTGGTTCTACTGAAGTAAAATCCCACCACTGGCTCTACCCATTTATTTTTGCAGACACCGATCTACTCATTTGTTTTCTTTTAACACTGATCAGCTGTAGGGCGGCCCTTTGAAGCCCCGTGGCAAGAGTTTAAACAGTTTTTTTTCCCCTCTAGCCATCAGCTGGGACTCAGGAGGCAGCAAAAGATTGGGGGTGGGGCCAAATAAAAGGTAAGAATAATGCGGGAGGGAGTGGGGTGGTGGGTGGGGGGGAGAACTGGTTCGGTGACATCATATCATCACTGCGGGAACCGGTGCGAACTGGGAGCAACCCACCACTGCCCTATACCATTTCAGACAATCTTTTCTTAAAAGCCTCCAGTGATGAAATCCCTACAACTTCTGAAGGCAAGCTGTTCCACTGGTTAATTGTGCTCACTGTTAGAAAGTTTCTCCTTAATTCCAGGTTGCTTCTCTCCTTGATTAATTTCCATCCATTGTTTCTTGTCTTGCCCTCTTGTGCTTCCGAAAATAAATTGACCCCCACTTCTTTGTGGCAGCCCCTCAAATACTGGAATACTACTATCATGTCACCCCTGGTCCTTCTTTTCTCTAGACTGGTCATACCCAATTCCTGCAACCGTTCTTCGTATGTTTTTGTCTCCAGGCCTACTACATGTCAGACTGGCTGGATAAAGGATGGGATCCCTTTCCATTGGTAGTGCACAAAACCTTCAGTGAATTTCCATGTTTTAGCAGTGATTCTGAGAGTATAACATACTGGAAAGCAGAAAAACGAAGAAGATAATTAAATGCAGTAAATATTTCATTCCTTTTCTTTCCTACCTGACTCATGCAATTTAAATGATAATTCTTCTTTGCAAGTTTTATTTCTTTTTTTCATTAAACGGTAAAGGTAGCATTTCAGCTGGCTAAAGATCTTTTGTTAAGGCTCAAAGTGTTTTACAAGTTGAACGTATCGAGGTAGAGGTATAAATATCACTGAATTAAATGATGTCAATTTTAAAAGTAGGATTACAATCATACTGCTCTAGCAAATAGGGCATTGTTCAAGATACTTTAGTGAATTTTTCAATGTATCCCCTTATATGTATGTGCACTCAGTTTCATGAGCTCACGAAAGGGCATTTGAAAGAAGGCTTCTGAGAGAGATGATTTAGATCATAGAAAATACAGCGTATATATTTAACTTATTTTTTACAATTAGTTCCTATGCTTCTAGAAAGAGTTCCCCCTATTCTGAGTATGTCTACTCATGTATTCCTTTATTTAACTGTATTAGGAGTGGAAACAATTTAGAGCAACAAATTTTCATGGGAACAATGAGTGGTAAAAATATGCATCTCCTCCTGCTGTACATTTTATTGGAAGGCTGTTATGTTATACATGGTCTCTATGGCATAAATATTGTATGTGGCTTTGTGTAACCAAACTTCAAGAGATTTCATGGAATGAAGAACAAAGTTATATATTGTAATCTCTATGATTACTTTTTGATTCCAGTTCATAGTTTGAACCAGGACTCCTTGCAATTCAGGAATACATGCACTCCATTCAGTGCAGGGGTGGGTTCTATTTACCTTTACTATCGGTTCACATGTGGAGATCACCTATGATGATGTCTGGGTCAGTGGGTGGAGCCTCCTGCCAGTTTTACTACCAGTTCTTGTGAACCGGTCCGGACCAGGGGCAACCCACCACTGATTCAATGTCCATGTAATCTAAATTCTTTAACCTCAAACGATCATTACTCATCTCAAACAATCTAAGTGCCAGAGCTCACTGTAACAGCATTGCCAAAAAAGCATTAAAAGTTGTTAACCTAATCTTGCATAGCTTCTTCTCTGGTAACATTGGAACTGCAAACTAGGGTATACAAAATTTTTGCTAGACCAATTCTTGAATACAGCTCAACTGTCTGGAACCCGCACTGCATATCGGACATTAATACAATCGAATGAGTCCATAGCTATTTCACAAGAAGAGTCCTCCACTCTGCTGCTCGCAACAGAATACTTTATGCCACCAGACTTGAAATTTTGGGCTTAAACAACTTGGAACTTGGCAGTCTTCGTTCTGACCTAAGTGTAGTACATAAAATTATCTGCTGCAATGTCCTACCTGTCAATGAATACTTCAGCTTTAACCACAACAATACACAAGCACATAATAGATATAAACTTATGGTAAACCGCGCCAAATTTGATTGTAGAAAATATGACTTCAGTAACAGAGTTGTTAATGCCTGGAATGCACTACCTGACTCTGTGGTTTCCTCCCCAAACCCTCAAAACTTTAACCTTAGACTGTCTACTGTCGACCTCACCCCATTCCTAAGAGGTCTGTAAGGTGCGTGCATAAGTGCACCAACATGCCTACTGTCCCTGTCCTACTGTCCCCATTTATTTGTATCCATTTCATGTATAAATAAAATAAATAAATAAAATAAAATAAACCTGTAATTCCTTCCTTTCTTCCCTCCCTCCCTCCCTCCCTCCCTTCCTTCCTTCCTTCCTTCTCTGACCTAATGCTAGAGAAAAAGATAAAACACCTTTAGTCATGTTATTGGTGTTAGAGAAATCTAACACAAGCCAGATGTGGAATTTAGAAAGTTACAAACATTATACACTCTGCCTGGAAAACTGCACTTGAATTACAATCCAAACACTTCTAATTTCAAATTCAGCTCATAAGGAGATGATAAATTGTCTTAATCCAGGTATACGGAATCTGTATCTGCCAGATAATGCTGTATTATAACTCGTAGTACACCTAACTGTAATGGTTATCATAAGTAATGCTAGGGATTGTAGTTTAACAATGACTTGAGGGCCAAAGGTTCACCTCCTTGCCTTAATTCCAACTGGTTCTTCACCATTCAATCAGTTTCCTCAAAACAGAAGTAAAAAAAAGCAAGGAAATAGTTCAAACATTTGCAGTTAAGACACTGTTATCTAATGCTAGGAATGGTATGTAACGTTAACTTTGATTGTGTTATGAACTTTTCTGTTTCACCAAAAAGGGAGTGATAAGAAATTATAGTTTTGAAATGGATATTCACAAGGGAATAGTTCTTCATTACAGGCTCCTGGGCAGTCAGTGTCTGGGAAAGAACAATTCTCTACTACATGTAGTCCTCGATTTACAACCATTTGTTTAGTGACCATTTGAAGTTGCAATGGCACTGAAAAAAGTGACTTATAGCCATTTTTCACACTGACAACCATTGCAACATCCCCATGATCACGTGATCAAAATTCAAACACTTGGCAACTGGTTTATATTTATCACTGTTGCAGTGTCCCAGGGTCATGTGATCACCTTATGCGACTTTCTGACAAGCCAAATCAATGGGGAAGCCAGACTCACTTAACAACCGTGTTACTAACTTAACCACTGCAGTGATTCACTTAACAACTGTGGCAAGAAAGGTAGTAAAATGGGGCAACACTCATTTAACAACTGTCTCACTTAGCAACATAAATTTTGGCCTCCGTTGTGGTCATAAGTTGAGGACCATCGGTATTATATTAAAAAATGTTCCTAAAGTGATATTTGGCTGAAGTAGCAATGGATGATTTATTTTTTTTAATTTCTTCCTTCAATTTTCCCCCCTAAAACCAGCATAATCATGTGAATTCCAATGGCCTACAAAGAAAAACATAATAGAATCATACAATCATGGGACAATTATAGTATTAAATTACTTTAAAACTGGATAAATAATTTATTTAACATATGCACGAGGGGAATCTTTACCTTTACTTTTTATGGCATTCTCTTGGCTAATTAAAAAAGCCAACATGACAATTCGCTGGTGCTGAAAGTACCACAATAGGGTCATAATGGAGAAACTTCTTTTTCCTTGACCACCCTGATTTCCTGATAGTGGGGAAATTTCAACTATTTTTCTTGAATCACTCATATTGGATAGATTAATTCGGATTTAATGAAGAAGTTCTCCTAATGTTCAGTGGTCAAGTCACATAGAGTTTTATAGGTTAAAACGAGCACTTTAAATTTCATCCAATACAGGCATGCCAAGGTACACAGCACAGGTGCAATACGATCATGGTGTCTTTTGCTATTAACCTGCACTACTATTGATCTTCTCATCTTCTCATTGTTCCCATCACCCATCTCTTCCCACTTATGACTGTATGACTATAACCTTGTTGCTGGTATCCTTATGATTTATATTGATATTGTTTTCTGATTGCTTATTTGTACCCTATGACTATCATTAAGTGTTGTACCTTATGATTCTTGATGAACGTATCTTTTATGTTATGTACACTGAGAGCATATGCACCAAGACAAATTCCTTGTGTGTCCAATCACACTTGGCCAATAAAAAAATTCTATTCTATTCTATTCTATTCTATTCTATTCTATTCTATTCTATTCTATTCTATTCTAACCACAAATGCTCCATTTTTTTTTACTGTTGCAGATTTTTAAAGGCAGTGCCCTACAGAATATTGTGAAGTAATCTAACTAGGTGTTTATGGGAATTATTATTGCTCAATCTTCTTCCTTATTCCTGGCCCATTATCCTCCCTAGCCTCCTCAATGTCTGACTCCGTTGCCAGGTCCGCAGGCTGCTGGTGGACCACAACAGGTGGGACCATATCTGGTGCATAGCTGTGGTCCTCCTGACCACAATTTCTACTTGCCCTTCCAGGAGGAATGCTGTTTGATAGGATTGCAAGGAACCTGGTGATCATTCTCAGCCAGATCAGAAGTCTTCAGCCCATCCCAGATAAATGGCTATCTAATCTTTGTTTGTAACCCTCCAGTGATGCAGCTCCAACGTTCTAGGAGGCAGACTGTTCTACTGCCGAATAGTTCTCATAATAATTAAAATATAAATTTTAATTGTAAAATAATTTCTCTTTATTTCAAATTTGGATTTCTCTCTGTAATTTTGCCGCACATTGATTTTTGTTATACCCCAAACCCCAGAGAGAATACATGGAATTCCTCTTCTCTGCGATAATCTTTCAGGTATTGGAATTTATCAGACTTTATTGCAGAAATCACATCCAGAAAGCACACACAGATAACTGATTCAGCAGGATTCATTAACTTCTCTTTATATACATAATAACACATACAATATCAACAGCAGATTCTTCCAACGTGGTAGAGACTAACAGGCAAACACAGGCAGAGGAGAGAAGCAGTTTCAGTTCAGCAGTCAAGTTTCAGTTTCAATTCTCAGCTCAGCACTCGGAACTACAGAGCCATGCCCAGGCTCCTTCCTGTCTCAGCTCCTATTGGCTGACTCACTTGCTATGCCTATTCATTGGCTGACCTTGTTACCATGTCTCCATTCTGGTTCATGAATATTCTGACAGAACTGTTATTAGGTTTGCTTGTAACCCTGTCTTCTTTAAGTTAAGCATACGTAGTTCTTCTAAATGTTCTTCATAGGATTTGGGTTCTAAGTCCCTCACCATCTTTGTTATTGTTTTGTTCACTTTTTTTTCCAGTGATCTCAAGTCACAGAGTTGCTGTCTCAGGCGAAGCATTACCTCCAAGAGGTCACCCAAGAGCCACCAGAGAACCTTGATGTACAAATAGGAACTCTATCTTGCTTGAGTTTAACTTTGGCCTATTTCTTCTAATCCATATCTTTGACTGCTTTGTATTGTGCAACCAGATGATATATAATTGTGTTTCATCAGCATATTGATGATATTGCATTCTTGAAGACAACAGGAGGGTCTGCACCCAAAGATTTTATGTAGATGCTGAAAAGGAATGGGGAGAGGAACAACATCAGAGGTCACCGACCCAATATTTTCTTCTCTGTTCCCAGATCTGAGAGTAAAGTTTGTGTGAAGCTCCTATCATATTTTCTATTGTGATTTTATTTTCATTTTTGTTTCTGGTTTGGGCTGTCATGTTTGTTTCATGTGTTTTTAAATGGTTTGCAATTGTTTATTTAATTCTGTAAACCACCCAGAGTTTTCTGGATTGGATTCTCATAATGAATTTCATTAACGAAACGGATTCTCTTCTATTGGAATTTGGTTAGGTAAATAAATAAAACCGCTGACTGAACCCATCCACTGAGAAAAGAGTGGAGCTACTGAAGCATAGTGTTTCCAAACCCTGTGGGTGGTTCCAGATAGATATTGTGATTAATGGTTTCAAAGCCCACCAATAGGCCTAATAAGACCATAAGAAGTGCACTTCCAATTTGGGTCCTAACAAAGGGTCATCTGCTTATACAACCAGCACAATTCTGTCCCATGTCCAGGGTTGAACCCTGACTTAACATGGTCTAGATCAGGGGTGTCAAACTCATGTCATCACAGCGGCATCACATGATGTATCAGGACTTTTTCCCTTTCACTAAACTGGGCATGGGCATGGCCAACATGTGACGCATCTGGCCTATGGGCCGGGAGTTTGACAGCCATGGTCTAGATAATCCAATTTCACATAGGTATCCTATAGTTGTCTGTTTTCTCAACAATCATCCATTTAAAGTATGATGAGAAATCGAATGTGAGACACTCACTTTAGACCACCGAGAAGGAAAATAGAGGTAGCTTAAGATATAATTCATGCCAGTTCTGTTGGGCTATATAGATCCTCAATGTGACTCAGAGAGTTAATTGCTGATGGAGCTCCGATTACAATGTTTTGATTTGGTTTATTTTTATTTTGCTTAGATAGTGTCTTTATCTTTAAGATATAAAATCTGATCTTTGTTTTACTGAAGATAGTTGCATTGTAAACACTTAGGACACAATTCAAGACAAAGCTTAGCATTCTTCAGTGTATTGAAATACATGGGTTTTATCTTTAATGTAGCTTTGGCTGAAATTCATTCCCCAAACATTGAATGGTTTCCTACATTTTTCAATTTCAAATATTAATGTATTTATAGCTTGGGAGTCTTTTCCTGGCTGCTGCTCTCATACCCTGACACTTATTAAACAAGCTGCTGTGTTGTTATTCATGATTTGGGAATTGGAAACTGTTTATATTTCTAAACTTTTAATATAATGCCATATGACTGCATTGCAGCTATTCAGTTAGTCAGAAAAGAAGCCAATGTAAAATAGAGAAAAGTTGGTTCTCAGATATTTCAGGTATCTCAGCAGCTTTGATACAAAGATGTACTAGGGGTTATCTCTCTTTCCAATACAACTGAATAGTAACATTATTATCAAAATAGCTATACAAACTTGTGCGCCTACTGACACATGTACATATGTGAGAAGGAATGGGGAAAATTATACTTGAATTATACTTGAAGTAAAAAAAATAACCTCCAAATGATATGCCAGGGATAGTCAACCAACTCTCCCTTAAGCACCTTGCCTGGTTTTAGGATCAGCTTTTGTTTAAAAGAATGTCTCTACCCCACATATAAGGGACACGGTGGCTCAACGGCTAAGACATTGAGCTTGTTGATCAAAAGGTTGGCAGTTCAGCGGTGGGCTCCCGTTACTTGTTCCAGCTTCTGTCAATGTAGCAGTTTGAAAGCACATAAAAAATGCAAGTAGAAAAATAGGAACCACCTTTGGTAGGAAGGTAACAGCATTCCATGCACCTTTGACATTTAGTCATGCCGGCCACATGACAACAGAGACGTCTTCGGACAGTGCTGGCTCTTTGGCTTTGAAACGGAGATGAGCACCGACCCCTAGAGTCGGGAATGACTAGCACATATGTGCGAGGGGAACCTTTACCTTTACCTTACCCCACAAATGTCTAGCACAGGCATGCTTAGGAAATGAAAGAAGTGGATAGCTAGATCCCCAAAGGTGCTTTTTCAAAAGACAACAGGACTTTCTTTGTTTCTGCTTGAACAAGTTTCACTTCTCATCCAAGAAGCTTCAGAACTGAATAAGCTTCTTGGATGAGAAACAAAATATCTTCAAGCAAAAACAAAGAAAGTCGAGTTGCCTTTTGAAAAAGCACCTTTGGGACAATCATGACTTGGATGACTCAGAATCTCCATGGACAGATAACTAGATCTCAAAACCATAGTTTCTCATTGTGGAAGTTATGCCATCTGACCAGAAAAAGCAGCGGTGAAATCCACTTATCTTTGCTACTGGTTCGGGAATGGGAGCGCGCGGGAGGGCGCATGTGCTACTCACATGCATGCGCCTTTTCTGCATATGCGCAGAACCTTCTGTGCATGTGCAGATAGTAAAAAAAGTGGGATGTAATAACATCCCGTTGGGTGGGCAGAGCCTCCTGCCACCGGCGCTACCAGTTCGGTGAGCCGGATAGAACCAAGGGGATTTCACGGCTGAGAAAAGGCCAAAGTATACTGGAAGAGGGAATACTATAAAGAGGTGGAATTATCAGTTGGCAGTCTGATGGGCTTCCCACCATGCAAATCATTTTGCAAGAGTGTCTAAACATTTCCCATGTTGAATGAGCATTATAACAAGCAAATTGCCGACACCAAATGCATTTCTTGGAACTTCTTAAAAGTGGATAGAGAAGAGACAAATATCTAATTACTGAGCAATACCCACACTGTTGGGTTTCATCAATGGTTGTAGGTGAATTACTTTTCCGTCAACTTGCCTTGCAGTAGTTCTTATTTAAATTCTGAACTAAGCCCAATTAATTCAACTAACATGTACCTCCATTTAGTATTAATTTTACTTAACATGATGATATAGAATCTGATAAGTGCTCATCAAGCTGGCCCTGGTGACCGACCCAGATTGGATCCAACTGTGGGTTTCACATTTTGTTACTACCGGTTCACTATGTGCACCTGCCTTCCCTGCATGCACCCGGCCTTTCACACATGCTTTGCTCACATGCATGCCTTCTGCACATGTGCCTGGCCTCAAAAAGTGACTAAATAGGATGGCATACAGCCGGGGCGGATGGGTGGGCCCACTCATGATTTCTGCTACCGCTTCACCTGAACCGGTTGAATACCCCCTCTGATTGGATCCTGCAAAATTTAATTATCTTAGGTACTGTAATAGTGTGACAGAATTGGAGGCTTAGGTTCCAACTCCAATACAAGAAATACATCTCTTTTTTTATTGCTTCTGAGATGTTGCTTTGCAGCAAGCATAGGCATCATAGTGTGCAGCCCCCCGAACCCCTCTTTTCTGCAGACTTTGGAACTACCACTGATCATACTTCCTGAAAATTGGTGACAAGGTTCCCCACCATTCATAAACCATCATGTAAGTCCCAGGATAGGCTTTATGTAATTGTCAATAAATAAATAAATAAAATCCTCATGCTTTCCCCATCATTTTATTTCTGAAAATCTTAACTTCACCCATTTCCCATTATTTATGCTCTCACTTCAGTCCCCGCTGAAATGTTGAATGTGGCCCTTAGTCATTAGAAGACTGTTCCCCCTTGCATTACATCTTGCAAGCTAACTTCCAAAAGCTTTCTTTTCCTCTCTACTCCGAGTGTTAAAGAGAGGATTCATTTTTTTTTTATTAAATGCTCCAAGTTCACATTTCCCCCTGATGTAGATATCAAATTGCAGAGCATAGTCAGAAATGATGGCCATTATTATTCATGCTGGTACTGCATTGACAGGCATTACTATAATGACTCAGACAAATCACAAGGCAACTGACTGATGATGAGCACTTCAAAATGGTGTGGTGTGGTTGCATGGGGACTGTGGTTGCTATTCAGGATAGCTTTTCTCTTAGATCGTCCCTGCTTATAGAACTTGTTCACTGACAACTGCCTGTATAATGTCATTACCTGGCTGTTGAAAAACCTTTGCCTGGCCCCGAAGCCCATTCATTGGCACTTAGTGGAAGGTTTGATGCAATAAAAGTCTGAAAAGATCCCCTCTTGTTAGAGGGGAGGGAAAGGTCTTGGAGGCACTTCTTGAAAAATACAGCTTATCACCATGGTTCTTCCAAACCAGCTGTACAGAATGACCTTTCTTGTAGGGAAGATAATAACTTTATGATAATGAAGCTGGAAAGCCATTCCCTGCACTGGTAATTTTATTTCTAATTGAATAGCTATATTTGATACATAGCAGCTTAACATACTCTGAAATAGTAGTAATATGATGTGCCAAGGAAGCTACCGTATTACATGTTTTGAATTCTAATCAGGAAATGGCTTTGTTTTCACAAGAAAAGAAGTTCAGATTTCCAGATCCCGCAAGTATTAGAACCTGTTCTCTGTGCCATGGATCCAGTGGTGGGTTTCACTTACCTTTGCTGCTGGTTCGCTCACGCGCACGCACTTGTTCGCTTTGCTCGTGCATGCATTACTTCTGTGCATGCACAGAGCGTATTTGATGACGTCTGGGTGGGTGGGCGGAGCCTCCTGCCACTACCAGTTTGCCTGAACCGGGGTGAACCGGTAGCAACCCACCACTGCATGGATCTCAAGATTCATGCTAAATTGGGACATCAATTCTCACTTCTTTTTTGGCTGTTTTAGTCTCTGCTGTATTATCTTCTCATTCTCTTCCCTCTACTTTCCTCACCAACAGCTGCTACCCATTGCAGGGATATCCTCATCCTTTGGTGTCTAAAGTTGATCAATTATGGTACTGTTAGCCTGACCTATGAGTGCAGTTATGGACTCTTCAGCCCAGAGGAATCCCCAACAATACTGCTAAATATGTATTATATATATATATTGATATATGTATTTTTTCCTGGGGAAGCGAAATTTTTCTGGGTCCTTTCCCTCTTTCCTAAGGTCTTTTTTTTGGGGGGGGGAAACCCCAAACAACAACAGAAGTCCTATACGTAATGTGAGTTTTACTTTAAAAAGCAGCCAAGTTATTTTAAAATAAGAAAAGAAAAATGGTAGCTTATAAGGAGAAAAGACGGAAAAGAACAGAAAGAGCGGAAGGAAA